AGTAGTTCGTATAAGCTTAGAAGATAGCTCAGAGTGTATTGTTTTCTTTTAGTTAATTTTAGAAGGTCTTGCTCTGATATGTAATATTCGGGTCGGGAATGTTTGATTTTGAACTTAATGTTCTTTTGTCTATTCTGAGATTTTGAACTACCTTTCATGGTATTTTAAGTTGTTTTGAATTATGAACCATGGACAACGAAGTTTCTACTATGTGTTTAATAAAGATGTTTTGAACTATGAATTCCACTGCATTGTAAATGATTTATAAATGTTTAAAATCCCGAGTTACAGAGTAAGACATGCATGTATGATATTTTTTGAAGCATGTGACGCCCTTTTGGTGAAATACTCTAATTATTTTATTACATTATTTGTGGGGTTTTAGAAGGATTTTACAGCTCTGGTATTGATTTTTCCTAATCTGAGTGAGTCTTTTGTTGTGTATTATGATGCGTCGAAGATAGGTCTTGGTGTTCTGCTCATGCAGAATGGACAAGTTGTTGCTTATGCTTCTAGACAATTAATAGTTCATGAAAGGAATTATTCTACGCATGACTTAGAATTGGCGGTTGTGGTGTTTTTGTTGAAGATTTGGAAACATTACGTTTTTGACTTTAAATTTGAAGCGTTTAGCAATCATAAAAGTATGAAATACTTGTTTGATCAGAAAGAATTAAATATGAGGCAGAGGAGGTGGCTTTAACTTTTGAAAGATTATGATTTTATATTGAGTTACCATCCAGGTAAAGAAAATATGGTTGTTGATGCTTTGAGTAGGAAGTCCTTGCATATGTTGATGCTTATGGTGAGAGAGTTGGATTTGATCAAGCAATTCAGAGACATGAGTTTGGTGTGTGAAGAGACTTCTAATAGTGTGAAGTTGGATATGTTAAAACTAACTAGTGGTATTCATGAAGAAATCCAAGAAGGTTGGAAATCTGATTTGAGTTTGGTTGATCGACTGACGTTGATTAACCAAGGTAACGGTTGTGAATTCCGAGTGGATGAAAATGGTGTGTTGAGTTTTGGTAATAGAGCATGTTTCCAGATGTTCCAGATCTTAATAAGAGTTTTCTTGAGTAAGAACTTAAAAGTGGCTTAAGTATTCATCTGGGTGCTATGAAGATGTATCAAGATTTGAAGAAATTATTTTGGTGGCTGGGTATGAAAAAGGAAGTTGCTGAATTTGTACATGCTTGTTTGGCTTGTCAGAAGTCGAAGATTGAACATCATAAGCCTTTGGGTCTAATGAAACCGTGTAATATTCCAAAGTGGAAATGGGATAACATTTATATGATTTTTTTGTCGGGTTTGCCGAAGACTATTAATGGCAATGATTCTATTTGGTGATAGTGGATAGATTGACTAAGTCGGCTCATTTCTTTCAGATGAAGATTAATCACTCTATGCGGAAGTTAGCTGAGATGTATATTAAAGAGATTGTGAGATTACATGGTATACCTTAGAGTATCGTGTCAGATAGATATCCAAGGTTTATGTCGAAGTTATGGGAAGGTTTTAACAATGGTTTTGGTACTAAGTTGTGCTTGAGTTATGCATATCATTCGCATATGGATGGTCAGATGAAGATGACTATCCAATCGTTGGAGGATTTGTTAAGGGATTATGTGTTAGAACAAGGAGGAGCTTGGGATAACCACTTGCCATTGATTGAGTTTACTTATCATAATAGTTTCTATTCTATTATTAGAATGGCACTGCATGAAGCATTGTATAGCAGGAGGTGTAGGACTCTATTGTGTTGGTATGAGTCAGGCAAGAGTGTTATGCTCGGACCTAAGATTATGCTGGAAACAACTGAGAAGATCAAGATGATCCAAGATAATATGAGAGCTTCTCAGAGTCATCAAAAGAGTTATCATGATAAGAGGAGGAAAAAACTTGAGTTCCAAGTGGGAGACCATGTGTTTTTAAGAATTACTCCGGTAACTAGTGTTGGTAGAGCATTGAAGTCTAGGAAGCTTACATCGTGATTTGTTGGTCTGTATCAAATTTCACAGAGGATAGGTGAGGTGGCCTATCATATTACTTTAATGTCATCGCTTGCAAATCTTCATGATATTTTCATGTATCTCAGTTGAGGAGATATATTTCATATCCTTCGCATGTGATTCAAATGGATGATGTACAAGTAAGAGATAACCTGACTGTTGAAGCATCACCAGTGCAGATAGAAGGTCAGGAAGTGAAGCAATTGCAGGGTAAATATATTTCCTTGGTGAAGGTATTGTGGGGTGGACCAACTGGTGGAAGTTTGACTTGGGAGAGAGAGGATCAAATGAATGATTCGTATCCGACTCTGTTTTCCTCGGGTAATTTTTTAGGACGAAAATTCTATAAGTGAGGGAGAGTTGTAACACCCCCAACATTTAGAATTGTTTATTTAACTAATTAGTTAATTGATATTGGTGAAATATTGGTGTTTATATGAATATTTGTGGAGTAACATATGAATTGTTGTTGAATGTTGTGGGGTAGTGTTGCATTAAGGTGTATGAGAATTATAATAATTTAAATAGTATAGTTATTATTGTTTAGAATTATTATTAAAATAAAATAAAGTAATAATATGAAGTAGAGATGACAAGGGAGTGTTGGTAACTTGTGAGAAGTAAGTGAGGGTATGATGGGAAGACTATAATAGGGTCTAAGGGTTAAACAAGGAAAATAGGGAAAATTGTTTCATTTGTATGATCGTGAAAGTTTGGTAAAAAATGGTGAAGAGTTAGGGCACGGAGAAATGTAGAGATTTCGGTAGAACGCGAAGAGGAAGATCAAGTTAGGAATCTAATTTAATGGGGTGATCTGTCATTATAATTGATAAAGGGTTTCAATGTATGCAGAGGTTTTGTATATTATGATGATATATGGTAGCGTGATGATTTGTTGATGAATTGAGGATTTAGTGATGAATTGATGAGAATACTATATTGTTATGCCATGAATTGATGAATATGATGCCTATAATTATGTTTTATTATTATGTGATGAATCTATGTTGAAAAATATGAAATTTGGATTGTCATTATGATGAAATCTCATGGAATTGGGACTGGTTTGATGCAAAAAAATGCAACAGTGATGTTTCTATTTCGCACGCGTCGTCGAGCGAGCATCTTGCATCGTCGGGCAAGAGTCAGCGTCCAGGCAGCACCGGGAGAGATTCCAGGCAGTAGAATTGTGAAATTTAGGTGCTCCTGGTTTTTAAGCGAAGTGCCTAGGCTTCTTCAGGCAAGCACAGATCGAGGCTCGTCGCTCTTGCATCATCGGGCGAGCCCCAAGGTGAAGACCAACTTTGTCGGGTGAGGTGCAGGCGAGCAAAATTGCTTGTATTTTATAAATGTGATAACTTGAGTTTCTGGACTCCGTTTGATGCACCATTTGAAGCATTGGAAAACTAACACAATGAACTATATTTTTGTAGAATAAAATGAGTCATAAAATGTAATTTTCTAGTATGTATTCTATAATGAAATTAGACTTTTATGCAATGAATTATAATAGGGTATGATTATATAACGAGTCGTTGTTGCTATGATGATACTATGTTGTGTTATGGTGTATTCGATGATGATATGTTGAATGAAGTGGATGATGTGCATGTTTCATGTGTATACATACTATGTGAATAATATTGTTGATGATTTCATGAATGATGATGCGGTTTGACTAGCTGTGATCATATTTTATTATGTTATGGCACATCATTCATTCATGGCATACTTCGGACGTTGGTCCGCTCAGTTTTGGACGTTGGTCTCGTGTCGGCCTTAATCCCATTGTATGGATCGAGTGTGTTTGATGTTGTGCTTCGGTTTCAAGAGAAAATCGATTCTATAGTGGAGATCTTTGGAGGGTGATGAGTCAAGTACTCATAAAGATTGGTACCACGTGCATAAGTCTATGTTGTTGTATTACATCTTATGTGACATTGCATGATTGTTGATTAAATGATGTTGTATATATTGTCGTGTTATAGATGAAGTGGTGATGAATGATTGTTGACTAAATGGTGCTATGATGATGTTGTGACTTAATAATGTGTATATCGTGGTTATGAATTAAATGATGTTTATATGATGTGTTATGATGATATGAAAGCGTGAGTATAATATGTGACATATGATGATATGTGATATATGGATTGTATGATAATGGTGTTCGAACTACTATTTATATTCCGTATATCTTTTGTGATGAATGTTATTACTCACACTTTCTGTTTGAATGATGCCTCCACGTGGATAACGTGCAGATTCTCGGGAATTGCTCGAAGAAGCATTCAGTGATAGCTTTGGAGTTATTTCTTTTATTTCCTTTGTTTTAGAAGGTCTTGCTCTGATATGTAACATCGTGGTTGGGAACGTTTAAAGTGAATATTTGTTTCCTTGATTGAATGATTTATAAGTTATTTTTATTTTGATTAAGTTGTTTTAAAACATTAACTCATGAATGGATAAGGATGGCGGTATTTGAAGGATGTTATGAATGAAATCAATTGAGATTATGAATTCCGCTGTGTAGTATTTGAATTATATGTTGATATTTTCGAGAGAAAATGATTATAACTGTTGAAAAGCCCGTGTTACGGAGCAAGGAGTGTATGTATGATGTTTATATGAAGCATGTGACACCTTTTTTGGTATTTGGTATGATTTATTAATTAAATTGTTTGTGAAATATTCTTGGGGTTTTAGAAGGGTGTTACACCCGTCATGCAAGGTTAGTAGCTTAGTAATACACAACCAAAACACGAGAGAAATAACCATAATCAACATCAAAATATGCACATTATTATTACACAACTCAGTCTTAAGATGCTATAGAGCCCTTATAAAAAAACATGCCCATAATACAAGGGCCAATAAAATTACCCCTTAAACTACCGAGATCAGAAGCTTGCTTTAACCAAGATGTCTTCCATCTTCATCTGAATCACAGTCACTTGCATCCATATTCATTAGGTACTTCACAATAACCTATATCTTTCTTATCTTTTCAGAGTTCAGATTCTTGATTAGAATCTTCTTAGTGCATGTTCCACTAAACGGTTCAACAAATGTGATGTTATTCCAAACCTCTTCAACTTCCTTGGTTTTGTTCAACCACAACTCCAGCATGTCAATAACCTTCTTTGAAGCCTCGATCTCTTGGACAAGTTTACTCCCACCAGCCTGATTTTGATTCATGTTGAGATACAGATCTGTAATCTGAGAGTAGGATAAGGAAAGATGTCTAGTTTTCTTGCTTGTAACGCCAATCCAGTTATACGACACCTAATATAACTAAGGAAACTTCCTTATTTTGTGTGCCAAAGTGATCTTAGGGAATAGAAACACTTTTTCCCTTTTGACATAACTCCCCAACATTGATTGTTATGGACTCTGGAATATGCAAATACCAAGGACACACCTCAACATTTTAAATTGATTTACATCTAAAGCTTTAGTGAGAATGTCCCAGATCAATATTGTGACACCTTGTCCCACATTATACTCCTTCAACATCTGACTCATCCAGATCAAGTCATTTCCATTGCTTCCCGCGGAAGTGTATTTAGCTTCAAGTATTTGCTCTTTGCTTATTCTAGATATGATGTTGTTGACATGAGTAAGGAATTTATCCAAAGAGCTCTTCATATTATCTACATTATCATCAGTGTTACTCATCGTGGGTTCTTCCTGTCTCTTACACATACTTCTTTCAACAATTGTACTACTTCTTCAAATATTAAGACTTCTATTGACAACTTTCTTTCAAAACTTATTCTTTTGTGATACAGTGGGAAAAGAATTATCTTTTCTTTTGACTTAGGAATGTTTGTGGGTCGGTTTAATTCGGTTTCGAGAGAATCTGATGTTCAAACCAATTAAAAATATATGGATTGATTTGGATTGAGTTTTCATATTTTTGTAATAAAATCCAAACTGAACCAACCCGAATCACATAATTTTATATAAATTCCTGTTTAGTTCAGATTTAACCAAGTCAATAAACACTCCTATTTTAACTCGTCATTATTCAACTATTTCCTTAATAAAAATAGTTGTTAGTTTAATGACTCTAAACCTATTAAAAAAAAACATTGTAAACTCTTATTCTTTTGTGATACAGTGGGAAAATAATTATCTTTTCTTTTGACTTAGGAATGTTTGTGGGTCGGTTTAATTCGGTTTCGAGAGAATCTGATGTTCAAACCAATTAAAAATATATGGATTGATTTGGATTGAGTTTTCATATTTTTGTAATAAAATCCAAACTGAACCAACCCGAATCACATAATTTTATATAAATTCCTGTTTAGTTCAGATTTAACCAAGTCAATAAACACTCCTATTTTAACTCGTCACTTGCATCCATATTCATTAGGTACTTCACAATAACCTATATCTTTCTTATCTTTTCAGAGTTCAGATTCTTGATTAGAATCTTCTTAGTGCATGTTCCACTAAACGGTTCAACAAATGTGATGTTATTCCTAACCTCTTCAACTTCCTTGGTTTTGTTCAACCACAACTCCAGCATGTCAATAACCTTCTTTGAAGCCTCGATCTCTTGGACAAGTTTACTCCCACCAGCCTGATTTTGATTCATGTTGAGATACAGATCTGTAATCTGAGAGTAGGATAAGGAAAGATGTCTAGTTTTCTTGCTTGTAACGCCAATCCAGTTATACGACACCTAATATAACTAAGGAAACTTCCTTATTTTGTGTGCCAAAGTGATCTTAGGGAATATAAACACTTTTTCCCTTTTGACATAACTCCCCAACATTGATTGTTATGGACTCTGGAATATGCAAATACCAAGGACACACCTCAACATTTTAAATTGATTTACATCTAAAGCTTTAGTGAGAATGTCCCAGATCAATATTGTGACACCTTGTCCCACATTATACTCCTTCAACATCTGACTCATCCAGATCAAGTCATTTCCATTGCTTCCCGCGGAAGTGTATTTAGCTTCAAGTATTTGCTCTTTGCTTATTCTAGATATGATGTTGTTGACAGGAGTAAGGCATTTATCCAAAGAGCTCTTCATATTATCTACATTATCATCAGTGTTACTCATCGTGGGTTCTTCCTGTCTCTTACACATACTTCTTTCAACAATTGTACTACTTCTTCAAATATTAAGACTTCTATTGACAACTTTCTTTCAAAACTTATTCTTTTGTGATACAGTGGGAAAAGAATTATCTTTTCTTTTGACTTAGGAATGTTTGTGGGTCGGTTTAATTCGGTTTCGAGAGAATCTGATGTTCAAACCAATTAAAAATATATGGATTGATTTGGATTGAGTTTTCATATTTTTGTAATAAAATCCAAACTGAACCAACCCGAATCACATAATTTTATATAAATTCCTGTTTAGTTCAGATTTAACCAAGTCTATAAACACTCCTATTTTAACTCGTCATTATTCAACTATTTCCTTAATAAAAATAGTTGTTAGTTTAATGACTCTAAACCTATTAAAAAAAACATTGTAAACTCTTATTCTTTTGTGATACAGTGGGAAAAGAATTATCTTTTCTTTTGAATTAGGAATGTTTGTGGGTCGGTTTAATTCGGTTTCGAGAGAATCTGATGTTCAAACCAATTAAAAATATATGAATTGATTTGGATTGAGTTTTCATATTTTTGTAATAAAATCCAAACTGAACCAACCCGAATCACATAATTTTATATAAATTCCTGTTTAGTTCAGATTTAACCAAGTCAATAAACACTCCTATTTTAACTCGTCACTTGCACCCATATTCATTAGGTACTTCACAATAACCTATATCTTTCTTATCTTTTCAGAGTTCAGATTCTTGATTAGAATCTTCTTAGTGCATGTTCCACTAAACGGTTCAACAAATGTGATGTTATTCCTAACCTCTTCAACTTCCTTGGTTTTGTTCAACCACAACTCCAGCATGTCAATAACCTTCTTTGAAGCCTCGATCTCTTGGACAAGTTTACTCCCACCAGCCTGATTTTGATTCATGTTGAGATACAGATCTGTAATCTGAGAGTAGGATAAGGAAAGATGTCTAGTTTTCTTGCTTGTAACGCCAATCCAGTTATACGACACCTAATATAACTAAGGAAACTTCCTTATTTTGTGTGCCAAAGTGATCTTAGGGAATAGAAACACTTTTTCCCTTTTGACATAACTCCCCAACATTGATTGTTATGGACTCTGGAATATGCAAATACCAAGGACACACCTCAACATTTTAAATTGATTTACATCTAAAGCTTTAGTGAGAATGTCCCAGATCAATATTGTGACACCTTGTCCCACATTATACTCCTTCAACATCTGACTCATCCAGATCAAGTCATTTCCATTGCTTCCCGCGGAAGTGTATTTAGCTTCAAATATTTGCTCTTTGCTTATTCTAGATATGATGTTGTTGACAGGAGTAAGGCATTTATCCAAAGAGCTCTTCATATTATCTACATTATCATCAGTGTTACTCATCGTGGGTTCTTCCTGTCTCTTACACATACTTCTTTCAACAATTGTACTACTTCTTCAAATATTAAGACTTCTATTGACAACTTTCTTTCAAAACTTATTCTTTTGTGATACAGTGGGAAAAGAATTATCTTTTCTTTTGACTTAGGAATGTTTGTGGGTCGGTTTAATTCAGTTTCGAGAGAATCTGATGTTCAAACCAATTAAAAATATATGGATTGATTTGGATTGAGTTTACATATTTTTGTAATAAAATCCAAACTGAACCAACCCGAATCACATAATTTTATATAAATTCCTGTTTAGTTCAGATTTAACCAAGTCAATAAACACTCCTATTTTAACTCGTCATTATTCAACTATTTCCTTAATAAAAATAGTTGTTAGTTTAATGACTCTAAACCTATTAAAAAAAAACATTGTAAACTCTAATTTTATTGTCTATGCCAAGTTCCGAACTGTGTTACACAAGGTTATACGATTAACTTCTCTAAAAAAAAATTCATAAGCATTAGTTATTAAATAAATTATATATTATTATTTTATAAATTTCCCCTACTGTAAATAAAATTTCAAAAATGGATTATATTTTAGACATTAACTATTAGACATTTTTAATAAAAAACATTAGATAACAATTTCAGTAATCAATTTGTAGATTTTTTTCATACATTTTCCTCATTCAAAACGATTTATACATTAGCAATTCTATTTATTAACATAATAAATTACCTATTATTAATACTAGCATAATAGACATACTAATAGTTAAATTATTATCTAGATGACTTACATTTCACAATCATACGTATTAATAGTGAGAACTTATTCATATAAAAAGGGAATTCAAACCTCTAATTTAATTATTCACTAATTAAATTACTCATTGTTATTTGGTTTAAATGTAATTATTTTCTATAGCTTCAATTTAATACGAATATTAAGTAATTTTATGATAATTGAAAGTATGTTGTAAATTATTTTACCGTATTCATTTTTATAGTTCAAAATATATTTTATAGAAAGACATCAAATGCAAGAGTGCGAATTTGATCCTTCAACATTTCACTTGTTATCTTTAATTAGGTCAGACATTTAAACTACTCAATAAAAAAAAAATTTTAAACAATAATTTATAAATTATTATTGGCACTCATTTTACAAAAATTTATTAATCTATACAATATAATAATATAAGATGAGTATTTTTGCAAGTTTGTCACTACACTCTCATGCATTCTTATATTTTTACTTATGTTATAAAAGGAAACTTTCATATTATGTATTATTATTATTTTTATATTAATTTTTATTTTCTCTCAATAATGTTAAGACACAAGTTGGTTTGTGTGTCACGGTTAAATTCTTTATTTTTATTGGCCTTTTGTGGAATACGAACCTTTTGTGGAAAAACAAAAACTTTTCAACTTTCAATGTCATTTTGAATTTTCAAAAACTTTTCAACTTTCAATATTATTTTCAATCTTCACTCTGCTCCATGCATAGAGTATTTAAAAGACACATTGAAAATTGGAGTAACACACTTTAGTACAACAAAATAACAAAGAGAGAGAGGCCTTTTATTCTCTCTCTCGACTCCCTTTTTCTCATCCAAGAAAATGCAGAACAAAACATCTTCTTTCTTTCGATCTTTCTTTCTCACACAATCATACAAACCTAAAACAAAAAAAATCCATACACACCAACACGAAATCAATCAAGCAAAACGCAGAATACCTGAAACAAAAACAACGGAGCAGAGAGGTCCGATGCACACACAGGGAAGTGGGTGGACTCACGAAGTGGTGACCGAAGAAATCGGCGGCAAATGAGCGTCGATGATAGACAGACCTGGTGTGTGTGTGTGTGAATTACGCATGTCACAATCTAGTTATAATTTATTGGTCAACAATGTCAAATCTATGTTTGAAGTAACATTGTGATATTAATTATATTGTTTATTCGACAATCTCTCAACCTAATAAATAATATGATATCATTAAGCTTTAATAATATAGGAGAATATCACATCTAGATATATCTAGACTCTAATTTATGATAGATGATTACCTATGTATAAATCTAAAGCACCTCCCGATATCATATAGATTCATATATCACGTTATAAATGATTGAGTCATTTTAGACATAAAGACATTTATCATTTATCTAAACCTAAGAGCATCTCTCGATATTAGATAGATCTACATATATGATACAAGTATAACAATAATTAAATAAAATAATAAATATCAAATATGTTTGATTAAATAAATTGGGAATAATGTCATAATCATATCAAATACTACATACAATGCATAATAATATACAAACCTAACTGTTAGCTGAAATTTCGCCGGTAGTTAAATTAGAAAATAAAGATATTTTCTTTATAAGGTTCAACTGGTCAAGATTATGGATGGTCCAAATTTGTTAAAATAATTCAACGGAATAAAGGTTTGGATATTTAATTCTCGAAGATCGGTTCATTTTGGCACGTTGAAGATTTGGCACTTCGAATAAGAAGAGGATTCGAATTTAAACATTTGATCTTATCTAAAAAGACGCATAGAGGCCTGCTATTTCAAAACTGCATGCAAAGGTTGAACGTGACATTTAGGCGTAGAATGTCCATTAAGGTCGAAATAGTATAAATAGGAGTCTTAGAAATAGGATTCATGTGTTCACATCTTTGTACAAACTACTCTAAATTACTCAAAGTACCAGTGTTTGAGAAACGAGTTGTGAGATGTACGTATGATGCACCAATTTTATGTTTATTGCCATTTATTTTCAATTGAAGTTTTATATATTCCTTTTAAATTTAAATCAAAAGTATTTTATGTACCAGTCCTTTCTTTAAAGCGTTACGTTACTACCTTCAAAGTAAAAATCTCTATCAAAGAGATTGATAAATAGAAAGATACGAACTCGAACTAAACACATGTCCTTAGGATCAATCTGGTGTGAGCAACCCCTTCATATAATTGGGTTTGAATTATAGCAAATATAAATTTGAAATAATCAATGAATGCTACCTACATGTGTGCACTGTAAAAATGTAGTATAATATGTTTAAAATGAGTTAAGAATGTGTTTTACACATAAAACACTGTTATGAGTCGACACAAACAGCTTTGCATCGACACATACTTAAGCAAATAATCATAAAAATAATTTTGCTTCAGTATGAGTCGACACATCCATGCTATGCATCGATTCATAACATGTTGATGCCCCTGGAATTCAACATTTAACCTTTATGCATCAATACATAACTTCGTGCATCGACACATAACATGTTGATGCCCCTAGAATGCAACCTTTAACTTTTATGCATTGATACATAACTTCATGCATCGACACATGATATGTTGATGTTCCTGGAAAACATTTTTGAACTTTTATGCATCGATACAAAATATCATGCATCGACTCATAACATGTTTTGTCTTCAAAAATCAAAAGTTCAACCCAGTATGTGTCGACACATACGTGTTATGCATCGACTCATGTGAAATGGTTGGTTCTGTAATATGTTGTAACATCTGCTTGCATCGACTCATAACAACATGTATTGACTCATCTTGTGTTACATAACTAACATGAGTCGGCTCATGCTAACATGCATTGACTCATAATATGACTTTTTGTCTCTAGCCGTTTTCTGTTACATATATAAGCAAGTTTTTTTCAGAAGAAAAGATCATGACACATATTACAATTGTGAGCATCAATTCTGGGCAGCAAGAAGCCTGAAAGATACTTCATCTTCATCATCTTCTCAATCACTTAATTCAACAACAACAATGAAAATCAAATATCTTTGTTCAATTGGATCAAGAGATCAAGAGATAACGTTCAGCTGTGCATTCAAGGAATCTCAGCTGGTTTGAAGATTGTGAAGGGGGCTTAGAGGAAAAACCAAGGGGTTTGTCCTTCAAGAATGGGCATGCTCTTGAGGGTTTGTTAGTCACGGTCGCACAAGTCAGATTCAGCCGTAGCGAAGGGTTTGGAAATCAGAGGGATTTTTGCAAACAGGTCGTGGAAGCTGAGGGTCGGTTGTGGATCTTGCAGGGAATCTTGATAAGGCTCATATCAAGTGAAGGTTCTTACAAGAAGAAGAATATCTTAGAGATTTCTGTCTGTCTGGGTAGTGTAACCTTGTATTCAAACATTCAGCAAAATTGTTATAAGAGTTCTCAATTTCAATTCTGGAATTGAGAGGGAGACGTATCCACACGCGAGGAAGACAGTGGGGAACTTCCTTACCAAACTGCCTGCGTATTGTTCTTTCTTTCTCTCTATCTCTTTACATTTTCCACAATTTTGTGATTCAATTGGCTTGCTGAATTTTTCTGTTTAATGATAAAATAGTGGTTCAAATACTTTCTTCAAATCACCATTATTAATCATCAAACAAGCATACGCCAACCGTTTCACAAAATTGCTTGCAAGTTTTAATTCATTGGAAACATTGTTCTAGTGATAAGTGCATTAAAATGTTAAGTAATCTCTGTTTA